AATGATGGAGCTATGCTTGCCTTTTCTTAGAAGCTTATAAAACATAACAGACCTTGCACAAAATGAAATGTAATATTGTAGTAGTTATAAACAAAGGTTTATTTTAGTTCAGATTAAACATTTGAGGGCAGCAACTGTATTCATAATGTCAAAATAAAACCAACATAATGTTACTTGAAAGCATTATAGCCTACTATTCCTGCCAAACTCCCATGTTTACAGTTTTACTACAGTAAACCCATGGGGAATGTTGCTGATCTGTGGACACTGAGTAGTTCATTCATGGCACAATGTTTCTTCCTGGTTTCCACGTCAGCGCTGTTTGATCCGTTAATAACGGAGAAATGTGAATGTTTGTCAAAGGATCTCGCAGCTATGTTATAACCTCAATAGAGAATTCAAATGCTTTCTTTACTGGATGTCTCAGCGCTTTGTAGTAACAGTGCATCAGCATCTCGAGTGCGCTTGCCATGCGCAACGCGACTACATTTGAAATAATGAAATTTTGGTCGGCAGGAAAAATGGTCCAACGAACCGTTCTGTTTGAAAACAGTTCGATACGAATACGTGTATCGTTACACCCCTAACATACAGACTAAGTGGTCAAATAACTATAAATATCATGCATGTTCTATCCATGACAAGTATGGATGATGTAGTTAATTTTTATTTTACATAATATGAAACAAAAGAACTGCAGCATTGCCCTGTTGTATTAATTAGTCTACTGTTAGATGTTGTAACTGCCTAGACACACTGCTGATTAGTACATCACATATTTGCAGTTGAGGAAGAGCAGTCCCGTGAAGAAGAGGAGACGGCTGAACAAAGTGAGGACAAGCTGGCAGATGAGGGTGTGGACGTGGGTGCAGAGTCAGAGGATGATCCTATGGACACTGTCAGTGACAAACATGTCATCCTCACTCAATTAGAACAGGTGGAGGAGGAGGACAGTCCTGCTCTGCAGGATGTGCTCATGACCAAGAGCCATCTGCATCTTCCTGGGCTGGAGGAAGTGGAAGCCTTGGCCCTGCTCCTTTTAGAACTGGCAGACAACAGTGACCGTCACCTAGTGCCAGCTGACCTAAGGCTGAAGATTGGCACTGCAGTTGGTGCTCTGCATGAGCATGACAGGTCTGCAGCCAACTTTGTAAAAAGGTATGAGTCTAGGTGGGGTTACACCCTGTTTGGCAGATGCTTGGGAGCTGACACACCTGAGAACAGAGCAGCACAGAAGACAAAGTTTTCCTGGATGAGGTACCCTCAGGCAGCCCAGGTGACTGAGGATAGTCGTCTGTTGTACCTCATTATTAAGATGCTGAAAAACCGGCCACCAGCCAGTCGTCTCACCTCCCCCACTAAAATCACCAATGCAATCAAGGGCCAGTATAAAAGGATTGTAGACCGAGTCAGAGACGATCCCATCCTCAACGGTCTCTCCATTCCTCTGCCCAATCTGAATGCCAAGTCCATCTCTACATTCATGGCACGGGAAGAGAAGAAGGCTAACTACAGGGCAACAGTAATGCCAAAGGTGAAACCCCACCAAAGAGTGCTGTCAGAAGAACCAATGCCAGCAGCTCCCACTCTGCCAGAATCCCTACCAGCTCCAGATCGACCTCAGGTTCAGTACCAGAGCCTACGTCATACTGCTGGGAAAAGGCATGGTCAGAAGCGGAGGTAAGTTGTTCAGTTCTTCATTTCACAAGTATGTGACTTTACTATTTTATTACAATATGTAAACATGTCTGAATTTATCAGCTGAATGGTTTAAACTTAAACACAACAAACCATGTGAATTGCTAGTCGTATAAATTATTTCTCATGAATTATATCGCATGTATGATTTATTTTTGCAGGGTAGATGTGGAAGAGCCGGAGCTTGTGAACCGGCCCATTCAACCTAAACCCCCTGTGTACATCCCACCGAGAGCGTCAGCAGCACCTGTCCTGGTAGTGGTTCCTGCACAGCCACAGGGACCCTCCATGATGCTCTGTGGGGCATCCAGAAGTCAAGGCTTCATACCTTTCGCACCGCCTCCTGCGCTGACATCCAGACCAATCAAGCCTCATAAATCAATGAAGCCTTGTGGGGCCTGCCAAGTACCCCAGTGTGGTGGGCAGCGTAAGAGATACACGCCCTCCAAAGACAAGGCAGCTGAAAGTAGCCAAAAAATATTTACTTATTGCCCAGCAACTAGGAAGTCCACCACTTCAGGTTTGAAGGTGTTGTGTTCAACAGTTTTGAACACTTCAAAAGTGTTGTAGACGAGGAACTAAAAAAAAAAAAAAATAATGACAAGTAGAGAGCCAGCCACATCTGCAACTACATCCCCCAAATCACAATAGCAGATTTCTGGGGTATGGTTTGGACCTGGTTCAGACCTGGATAAGACCTAGTTTAGATTTTGCCTTAGTTTGGACATGATTTAGACCTGGTTCAATCCCAGTTGTACTTGCCTACAACCCCAATTCCAATGAAGTTGGGACATTGTGTAAAACGTAAATAATACCAGAATACAATGATTTGTAAATCCTTTTCAACCTATTTTCAATTGAATACACCACAAAGACAAGATATTTAATGTTCAAACTGATAAACTTTATTGTTTTTTTGCAAATATTCCCTCCATTTGAATTTGATGCCTACAACATGTTCCAAAAAGCCTGTATCTTGTCTTTGTAGTATATTAAATGAAATGTAAGTTGAAAAGGATTTGCAAATGAATGTATTATGGTTTTATTTAAGTTTTACACAACGTCCCAACTTCATTGGAATTGGGGTTGTAATTTAGTCCTGATTTAGACATGGTGTGGTTTAGTCAGAATTACCTGTGCACAGACATTTACACGTCCTCAACATTATTTGCACTTTGTGCGTTACAACGCAATTTAATTTGCCATGTTATTTATATTCTCATAATAAGGCTAAAATATAATAAGTCATATTGGCTACAATATCCGCCTCTTATACAGATTCATTATACACCATCTATAAAACACATACCTATTTTCTCATTGTCTGCCATCAAATCAGACAGTGGGAAAAAAGATGTGTTTTTAGTGAATGTAAGTATCTGCTTAACATTGCATACTCATCCCCTTGTATATATTGTACGTATATTTTATATTGCTCAATGTGTACATGTATAAATCTTGTAAATATATATATAAATCCTGTAAATAATAACTTATTAGTACATATTTTGCTATATTTTCTGCTACATTACTTAATAATTAATGTTAATTATATTCTGTTTACCTTGTTACCTGTGTTATTGTTGTGTTTATTTATTTCTGATATCTAGATATATATTGTTGAACAAATCCTATAAATAATAACTTATTAGTACCTATTCTACTATATTTTCTGCTAAATTACTTAATAATTAATGGTAATTCTATTCTGTTTACCTTGTTACTTATGTTATTGTTATTATTGTTGTTTATTTATTTCTGATATGTAGATATATATTGTTGAACAAATAATAAAAAAAGAATGTTTCCAAATATATGATTCCTCCCCATTTGTCCAATAGATAGAGGTAAAGACTTTCACATGAAACTGTATTGAGTATAACAGAGGCTGAATTAAAGGTAAAGTCTTTTTCTAAAAATCCCATTAAGGCCCTTTTATGTGTACATTTTACATGCTCCATACAGGGTGAATAGGGCCTATAGAGTGAATAATATATCTCAGATATGAGCAAATTACACTTTTGTTCAAGAAGCTTAATATAGTTTCTTAGATTTTTTCAGTGATCTTGTAAACACTGTAACTAAAAGTCTCAAGTTTATTTGTAAAGTGCATCCATTCATACTTCAAACAGATAAGAGCAAACACATTTGTTACATTACTTGTTTTTTATTGCTTTAATTGAAGCATTATGTTTGTTACATTACGTGACAGACATATTATACTTAATAAAAGATAAAGTCAGAGATTTTAGTCTTAATGGTCTTATTCACAAAAACATAAAAAAGAACAGTAAACAAGACTTGATGTCCTGAAGTGTGAAAACATTGGTCTCCTCCCCTCTCTCCTCCCCTCTCGATCTGTTTACATTTTTTTTTCCCAAGGTGATCAGGACCCAGGACAAGGACTTGGAGGGGTCATGGGCCATTCCCAGGCGGTCTCCCATCCAAGTACTAACCAGGCCCGACCCTGCTTAGCTTCCGAGATCAGACGAGTTCGGGCGTTTTCAAGGTGGTATGGCCGTAAGCGAAATCTGCTGCCAAAATTGGGCTATTTGAATGGTTAGAACATTAGGGTAGTAAACTATATAAAGCTTACAGCACCTGGTATTCCCAGGCGGTCTCCCATCCAAGTACTAACCAGGCCCGACCCTGCTTAGCTTCCGAGATCAGACGAGTTCGGGCGTTTTCAAGGTGGTATGGCCGTAAGCCAAATCTGCTGCCAAAATTGGGCTATTTGAATGGTTAGAACATTAGGGTAGTAAACTATATAAAGCTTACAGCACCTGGTATTCCCAGGCGGTCTCCCATCCAAGTACTAACCAGGCCCGACCCTGCTTAGCTTCCGAGATCAGACGAGTTCGGGCGTTTTCAAGGTGGTATGGCCGTAAGCGAAATCTGCTGCCAAAATTGGGCTATTTGAATGGTTAGAACATTAGGGTAGTAAACTATATAAAGCTTACAGCACCTGGTATTCCCAGGCGGTCTCCCATCCAAGTACTAACCAGGCCCGACCCTGCTTAGCTTCCGAGATCAGACGAGTTCGGGCGTTTTCAAGGTGGTATGGCCGTAAGCCAAATCTGCTGCCAAAATTGGGCTATTTGAATGGTTAGAACATTAGGGTAGTAAACTATATAAAGCTTACAGCACCTGGTATTCCCAGGCGGTCTCCCATCCAAGTACTAACCAGGCCCGACCCTGCTTAGCTTCCGAGATCAGACGAGTTCGGGCGTTTTCAAGGTGGTATGGCCGTAAGCCAAATCTGCTGCCAAAATTGGGCTATTTGAATGGTTAGAACATTAGGGTAGTAAACTATATAAAGCTTACAGCACCTGGTATTCCCAGGCGGTCTCCCATCCAAGTACTAACCAGGCCCGACCCTGCTTAGCTTCCGAGATCAGACGAGTTCGGGCGTTTTCAAGGTGGTATGGCCGTAAGCCAAATCTGCTGCCAAAATTGGGCTATTTGAATGGTTAGAACATTAGGGTAGTAAACTATATAAAGCTTACAGCACCTGGTATTCCCAGGCGGTCTCCCATCCAAGTACTAACCAGGCCCGACCCTGCTTAGCTTCCGAGATCAGACGAGTTCGGGCGTTTTCAAGGTGGTATGGCCGTAAGCGAAATCTGCTGCCAAAATTGGGCTATTTGAATGGTTAGAACATTAGGGTAGTAAACTATATAAAGCTTACAGCACCTGGTATTCCCAGGCGGTCTCCCATCCAAGTACTAACCAGGCCCGACCCTGCTTAGCTTCCGAGATCAGACGAGTTCGGGCGTTTTCAAGGTGGTATGGCCGTAAGCCAAATCTGCTGCCAAAATTGGGCTATTTGAATGGTTAGAACATTAGGGTAGTAAACTATATAAAGCTTACAGCACCTGGTATTCCCAGGCGGTCTCCCATCCAAGTACTAACCAGGCCCGACCCTGCTTAGCTTCCGAGATCAGACGAGTTCGGGCGTTTTCAAGGTGGTATGGCCGTAAGCCAAATCTGCTGCCAAAATTGGGCTATTTGAATGGTTAGAACATTAGGGTAGTAAACTATATAAAGCTTACAGCACCTGGTATTCCCAGGCGGTCTCCCATCCAAGTACTAACCAGGCCCGACCCTGCTTAGCTTCCGAGATCAGACGAGTTCGGGCGTTTTCAAGGTGGTATGGCCGTAAGCCAAATCTGCTGCCAAAATTGGGCTATTTGAATGGTTAGAACATTAGGGTAGTAAACTATATAAAGCTTACAGCACCTGGTATTCCCAGGCGGTCTCCCATCCAAGTACTAACCAGGCCCGACCCTGCTTAGCTTCCGAGATCAGACGAGTTCGGGCGTTTTCAAGGTGGTATGGCCGTAAGCCAAATCTGCTGCCAAAATTGGGCTATTTGAATGGTTAGAACATTAGGGTAGTAAACTATATAAAGCTTACAGCACCTGGTATTCCCAGGCGGTCTCCCATCCAAGTACTAACCAGGCCCGACCCTGCTTAGCTTCCGAGATCAGACGAGTTCGGGCGTTTTCAAGGTGGTATGGCCGTAAGCGAAATCTGCTGCCAAAATTGGGCTATTTGAATGGTTAGAACATTAGGGTAGTAAACTATATAAAGCTTACAGCACCTGGTATTCCCAGGCGGTCTCCCATCCAAGTACTAACCAGGCCCGACCCTGCTTAGCTTCCGAGATCAGACGAGTTCGGGCGTTTTCAAGGTGGTATGGCCGTAAGCGAAATCTGCTGCCAAAATTGGGCTATTTGAATGGTTAGAACATTAGGGTAGTAAACTATATAAAGCTTACAGCACCTGGTATTCCCAGGCGGTCTCCCATCCAAGTACTAACCAGGCCCGACCCTGCTTAGCTTCCGAGATCAGACGAGTTCGGGCGTTTTCAAGGTGGTATGGCCGTAAGCCAAATCTGCTGCCAAAATTGGGCTATTTGAATGGTTAGAACATTAGGGTAGTAAACTATATAAAGCTTACAGCACCTGGTATTCCCAGGCGGTCTCCCATCCAAGTACTAACCAGGCCCGACCCTGCTTAGCTTCCGAGATCAGACGAGTTCGGGCGTTTTCAAGGTGGTATGGCCGTAAGCGAAATCTGCTGCCAAAATTGGGCTATTTGAAGAAGAAAAAAAGAGACTCTTTCAGGCTTTCTGAAGAAACTCAGAGAATATTTCAGGCATTTCGAGGGGAAAAAAAGACAATTTAGGATTTTTGAACCATTTCATTGACTCTTTTTTTTTTTTTTTTTTTTTTTAAAAAAATATATAAAGCTTACAGCACCTGGTATTCCCAGGCGGTCTCCCATCCAAGTACTAACCAGGCCCGACCCTGCTTAGCTTCCGAGATCAGACGAGTTCGGGCGTTTTCAAGGTGGTATGGCCGTAAGCCAAATCTGCTGCCAAAATTGGGCTATTTGAATGGTTAGAACATTAGGGTAGTAAACTATATAAAGCTTACAGCACCTGGTATTCCCAGGCGGTCTCCCATCCAAGTACTAACCAGGCCCGACCCTGCTTAGCTTCCGAGATCAGACGAGTTCGGGCGTTTTCAAGGTGGTATGGCCGTAAGCCAAATCTGCTGCCAAAA